AAAACATGGTGGAGCCAAAGTCATGGTATGGGGCTGTTTCTCATATAATGGTGTCGGACCTATTTATAAGATTAATGCTATTATGGACCAACATATATATGTCGATATCCTCAATAATGTCATGCTGCCTTATGCTAATGAAGATATGCCGTTAAAATGGGTCTTTCAACAAGACAACGACCCAAAACACACTAGTCACAAGGCAAAAGAGTGGTTTCAGATCAATGGGGTTGAGGTTATGGAGTGGCCTGCTCAGTCACCTGACCTAAACCCCATTGAAAACTTATGGGGACGTTAAAAAAGCAGTTTCTACTGCTAATCCAACTAATGCTCAGCAGTTATGGGAAGCTACTCAACAAGGATGGTACGCAATACCAGCAGGAAAATGTCAATGCCTAGTTGACTCAATGCATCGGCGTTGTGAAGCCGTTATCTCAAACAAAGGTTTTGCAACGAAATACTAAGGGTAAATATTGTTATATTAGACTTATTTTTAACTTTATAATGTTCAAAAGTTTGCAATTTTAATGTTTAATACCATAAAAAATAATTTTTTCTCTATTTTCAGATACCACTGCTATTTCAACGACTGCGAGCTTTCTTGATATTATTGTTTTTTTTTCTGAAATAAAATGTAAAACTATTATTGATGTAATTTTTTTTTGTTTTATTAGATTGAAGTGTCAAAATAAGTGCAATAAATTTTTTTCAGTAATAAGTAAAAAAAAAATTGCGCAATAGTTTTCAAAATATTCCAGGTACTGCAATTTTCATGCTCACAACTGTAAGATATATTGAAGATATTACAACGTTTCTGTATTTTGTGATGAAATACTAAGGGCATGTTCAATAAAACATACTTGCAATGAATTCAGGTATTTATATTTACATTTTAATAATCAACTTTTTAAAAACATATTTTTGAAAATATTATTTTTACATATTTATATACAAATATGTATTCATAAATATGTGTGTATGTATATAGATATATATTTATAGGCGGAGGATCATTGAAATTAATAGTAAATCTGTTTGATCCTACCATGGACAGGGCAGAAGATAGCAGTTCCATAGGATCACAGTCAGGGGCAAATACGTCACTTGTTTTAGCTTATTGTGAAAGGGTAAATTTTAACATGACAAAGACTGTGGAAAGATTGAAGTTGCATGAATGCAACTACTCATTGGTTTCTGACATGAAGTTATTCAACATATTACTAGAAATTTCGGAATGTTGCTTTTAAATAAGTTTAAGATAATAAGACATATGAGGTAAACATTTTACTAGGAAAAAGTTTTTTTTTACCCAACGTATATTTATAAATTGAATTATTATATAAAATTCTAGGCTTATGGAGAATAGAATGCCTGTACTTGGTGTAAAGGTTCTTCTGAACTATTATCTGGAGAGTTAAGAATATTTCAATCTTTAAATGATTACTATGAACTGTATTTGTCTGCAGGATCTCCTGTGAAAAAAATAAAAGAATATAAGGTATAAATAAATAAGTATATTGTAAAAATTTTTTAAAGTATATCATTCATCACAAATTTATTATTTAAAAAAAAATTATTGTTTCCATATCTTAGTCATTAATCCTTGTCTGTTCAAGATAGAACACAAATTTCTAAATATAATAAAAAAAGTTCCTTTACCAGACCTGCATCTTCTGATGGAATTTGTTAACCATTTGGCAGAATTTATGATGCAGCTTTGGTCTGTTTATAAATTAGGTCAAGAGCATTGGATACCTTTACAAAACTTTACCACGCAGGAACATTTGAACGAAACACATGAAAAGAGAGACTTTAAAGTTCCGACAAACTTAATTTGATAATGTCTGTTAACCGTATCCTCTCTTGGAAACAATGAGAAAGTTTAATAAGGTTTGTTCATGGTGTCTTTAGCTATAAACGTGACCCAAACTATTCAATTTCAATTGAGAGTTTTACACAAAATTTTTAAGATGCGCAAGACTATTGCAGACAGGTAATCGCTGTATTACCTATATGAAATTATTATTTAACCTTTGTATTCGAAACTAAGTTATTGATAAACATGTTTATCGTAAATTTTTTTTAGTTTTTAGATAAACAGCTCATAAAACATCTGGAAACATTTGCTGAATTAAGTGGCCTTTCCCTTGGACAGTTTAACAAGCAGACATCTGACGTTTGCCATTCCAAGATGGAAAGTGTAATAAACAGGTTTAGAGTTTCGCAGTACAGCATAAAGGTAAAAGCAAAAGAATTGCTGAAGTGTTCAGTTCAAATAAATTATAAGTTTATGATGCAGTTTATGATAACCTTTCCATTTTCCTGTATTTGCTGAAGTCGTGTCAAAACAGAGACATTTAACCTTATCTTTTAATCCAAAATGTTTCATCAATTCTACAATAGCTTGCTTTTGATAAATAACTGAACTAGAATCTATTGGAGTAATGCCAAGTAGTTCTGTTTTCGTATCAATCTTTACCAATACTGCAATTCTATCTTTTTTAAATTGCTTTCCTTTTGTTAATTCATTAATAATTTTTCCATCAAAATGTATAGTCATTAAACATTGAACAGTAGAACATTGATAGTCTTAATCATTCTTATATAATTCTGCTGACGGATTTATATTTAACTTTGACATACATCTTTTACTTCTTACTACAGATTACTCATATCATTTAT